AGACAGGGTCTCCCTGTAGTCCCAGCTGGCCTGGAACTCACTAAGTAGACCGGTTGGCCTTGAACTTACAGACATTCACTAGCCTCTGCCTCCCGAGTGCTGGGATTAAACGTGTCCACCACCATGCCCAGCACATAAAGGTTTTTAAAGTATACCCTTATAATGTTCTGGATCTTTTTGTTGTCTTTTGTGATGTTTCCCCTCTCATCTCTGATTTTGTTGATTTGGAGGTGCTCTTTCTTTCTTTTGGTTAACTGAGCTAAGGGTCTCTCTGTCTTGTTTATCTTTTCAAAGAACCAGCTCTTAGATATGTTCATTCTTTGTATTGTTTTCTTTATTTCTAGTTCATTAATTTCTGCTCTGATTTTTGTTATTTCTTCTTGTCTGCTGTTGGTTTTCATTTATTGTTGCCTTTCAAGAGTCTTGAGTTGCAATGTTAAGTCATTTATTTGTGTTCTTTCTGATTTTTGATGTGGGCAGTTGGAGCTATAAATGTCCCTCTTAGGACTGCTTTTAAAGTGTCACAGAGGTTTTGTTGTATTGCATTGTCCTTTAATTTAATTCCAGGAATACTTTTATTTCTTTCTTAATTTCTGCTTTAGCCCACTCATCTTCAGAAGTGTGTTGTTTAATCTCCATGAGTTTGTGTATTTGCTAGGGCTTCTTCCAGTTTTGATTTTAATCTTTCTTGCGTTGTGGTCTGATAGAATGCATGGAATTATTTCAATTTTTTTTGAGTGTGTGTTTGTTGAGGTTTGTTTTGTGCCCCAATATGTGGTCAATTTTTGAGAAAGTTGCATGGGGTGCTGAATAGAAAGTATATTCTTTGGTGCTTGGGTGGAATATTCCATTAGATATCTGTTAGGTCCATTTGATGTATGGTGTTGTTTAATTCAGATGTCTGTTTATTCTTTGTCTGGTTGACCTGTCTAATGGAGACAGTGGGGTACTGAAGTCCCCTAATATTAGTGCGTTGGAGTTAATATGTGTCTTAAAGTCCTGTAGTACTGTTTTCATGAAGTTGGTTGCTCCAGAGTTTGGTGCATATATGTTCATGATTGTAATATCTTCTTGGTTTATTGTTCCTTTGATCAGAATGAAGTGACCCTTTTTATCTCTTTTGGTTAGTTTCAGTTTGAAGTCTATTTTATTAGCTATTAGAATTGCAACCCCTGCTTGTTTCTTTTTTCTTTCTTTCTTTCTTTTTTTCATCCTTTTGATGAAAGCTGTAGCCCCAGCTAGCCTGGAACTCACCAAGTAGACCAGGCTGGCCTTGAACTCACAGAGATCCGCCTGCCTCTGCCTCACCTGCTTGTTTCTTAATGCCATTTGCTTGGAATATTTTTTCCATCCTTTCATCTTAAGGTAGTACCTTGTCCTTGAAGATGAGATGGGTTTCTTGAAGACAACAAAAAGATGGATTTTGTTTCTTAAGGTGTTCAATTAACCTGTGTCTTTTGACTAGGGAGTTCAGTTCATTGATATTTAAAGTTATTACGGAAAGATGTATATTGGTCCCAGTCCTTTTCTGTTTGCATTCTTGGTCTAACTTTGTGTTTCCATAGTTATACCTTCATTTAGTTTCATTCTGTTGTCCCTTGGGTATAGTCATTCTTTTCTTTAGTTTTTTGTATCACTTCAAGAATTCTCTGAAAGGCTGGTTTTGTGAACGTGAATTCTTTCAGCCTATTCATGTCATGGAAGAGTTTTCTTTCCCCTTCAACTATAATAGATATTTTTTCTGGGTAAAGTATTTTGAGTTGGCATCTATGGCTTTTATAGTTTACATTGAAAAGTCAGCTGATTCTGATGGATTTTCCTTTATATGTAACTTGTTTTTCTTTTGCAGCTTTCAGTATTCTCTCTCTGTTCTGTATGTTCAGTGTTTTTACTATGATGTGCCATGGGAAATTTCTTTTCTGATCCTGTCTATTTGGTGTTCTATGTGCTTCTTGTATTTGAATGGGCACGAGTTTCTTTAATTTTGTGAAATTTTCTTCTACAATCCTGTTGAAGATCTGGTCCATACCTTTATCCTGAGATTCTTCTCCTTCCTCTATGCCTATGATGCATAAATTTGGCATTTTCATGATGTCCCACATTTCCTGTATATTCTATTCCTGTGTTTTCTTAAATTTTTAATAATCTTTGCTTAAGCCATCCAATTTGTCAAGTTTATAGTCCAGTCTTAATATTCTATTTTCCATTTCTTTCATTCTATTGGTGAGGCTTTCTCCAGTCATTTCTAATTGGCTTATTGAGTCTTTCACATCCTTCTTCATTTCAACCAAAGTTTTCTTCAATACTTCTATCTCTTTTGTGAACTCAGAAGTTTATCCCTATCTTCTTTTAGTTCTTTGATTTGTTTGTGTGTTCTTTAAATTCATTGAATTTATTCTTTGATCCTGTTGATGATTGCTCTTTTAGATTCTGTGCCCTTGGTTATCTCTAGGGGGTTCTCGTTGTAAAACTCTCCTATAGGAGTGTAGGTGTTTGATGGGGACATACTATTTGGATTTTTCATACTATTTTTTCATTGTGATTTTGGCGTGTGGATTTCTTTTGTTGTTTATGCTTTTTGTGTGGGACTCATGCCTTCCTTTGTTGAGCTGAAGTTTGTTTCTGTTTGTATACTTGATGTGCCTTGGTTGTTTTCTTATTGGGTATGTAAAACTTGTTGGTCTAGGCTTCAGGTTCGCCCATTTGATTTTATATTGGAGAGACCAGATGGCTTTAGTTCAGCTACTCAGGAGTTCCTGCAGAGGAGATTTCTGATTGTCTTTTCTTATCTCTTTAGGTGAGAAGCTTAGGGAACTTAGGAGAGGAAGGGTGATATTTTCACTTGGATTCCTGGTCCCTTTCTTTTCAATGAATAGGTCACATGCATGTACCTCCTCCCCACAGAATGCCAGCTCTACAAAGACAGTTGTCCTTCATCTCCTTTGTCACTAGAGAATACACCACACCTTCCTAATGTGGCAAAATGACTGTCTATGATGTTTGTTGGTATACTGTGTGATGGGCACTGTTCTAGGCACTTAGGGGTATACCAATGAAGAAAACAAAGATCTATGCTCTTGTAGAACTTGCCTTTCTCTTCTGTTTGTCCCTTAAATTTACCATCAGTGAATGGTACCCTCTATGTGATTGTTCACTAACTTAGAACCTTCATTTTCAGCATCCAGTTCAGCCACCAGGACCTCCTAAACACCTCTTGAATCCTTTACCTTCTTCCTCCTCATTGCCCCTTCCTGGCCCACTGTCATCTCTCAGATTGCTATAACAACTTCTTTTTTTTTCGGTCTTTTGAGACAGGGTCTCCCTGTAGCCCCAGCTGTCCTGAAACTCACTGTGTAGACCAGGCTGGCCTTGAACTCACAGAGATCCGCTTGCTTCTGCCTCCCGAGTGCTGGGATTAAAGACGAGTGCCACCATGCCCGGCCTGCTGTAACAACTTCTAACTTGCTTCCTTCCAACTTGTGTTAGTCAAACTTTTCACCACTGTGACAAAACACTGAAGAAAACAACCCAAGAAAGGAAGGATTTATTTTGGATCACAATGGTAGAGGTTGGTTTGTCATGGCAGGGAAACTATGTGGAACAGCTCACCCCATTTAGAGAGAGGGAATACAGGAAGGGACCACAGTAAAATGTAGCCTCTAAAGATACACCTCCAATGACCTACTTCCTCTAACTAGGTCCCACCTCCTACTTTCACTACTGCCCAGTAATGCCATCCTATTATGAATCTATTAGACCAATCCACTGATTAGGCCAGAGTTCTTAGGATTTAATCATTTCCCAGCTCATTTAATCATTTCCTAGCCCATCAGCTAGGCACCAAGCCCCCAATACATAAGCCTGTGAGGGACATTCATAGTCAAACCACAATGCCTATAGTCTCTTCTGGTGCTGGAGAGATGGCTCAGTGGTTAAGAGCACTGACTGCTCTTGCAGAGGAACTGGGTTTGATTCCCAGCACCTACCTGGTGGCTAGCAACCATCCATAACTCCAGTTCCATGGAATCCAAAGCCCTCTTCTGACCTCTGTGGGCATTACACAGCATGGGTGCACTTAAATACATGCAACAATGCACTCATACACATAAAATAAAAATGATAACTAAATTATTAAAAAAGAATAGTCTATTCCTTGTAAAGAGAGGAATCTTTACCAAATGTCATTGTGACAGAGATTCTCCCATGCTTGAAACCCTTAGATCCCCAGTTTGAAGCCTCTGGTCTTGTGTGACACAGCCTTGAGGAGCAGTGATGTCTCTCCATCCTTCTCAGCTCTTCCCCTAACTATTGCCCCCTATGCTCAAATGCTAGTAATGTCTAGACCAGTTGAACTTTGCCCACAAATTTTGAAGGGCCTGTTGTTCCTTGAGAATCTTCTACTTTGAACAGGAAGCAGGTATTCCCTTAGACATAGTTTTTCTGGGAAGCCTCACCTGGCCCACCTGACTAGAGTATTTACCCTCATTAGGATGGCTTGTTGGGGCCCTGGTTCTCTTCCTGTTAAGGCTTTACCATGCTTGTTCTGTGCTGTGGAGGCATTGCTGCACACTGCAGGGTGTTTAACAGCATCCATGACTCCTATTCATTAGATGCCTATTGCAAACCTCCCTCCTTTCTCTCCAGGCTGTTGCAGATCAAAAGTCTCTAGGCACTGTCACATGTCCCTTGGGGGTAAAAATTGACTGGGTTGAGACTGTTGCTCTAGACCATGCTGACCCAAGGTATGACCAATGTTCACCTGCTCTGCTGGGCTGGGTCAGTGAAACTTCACAAAGTGGATGTGTACTCAAGGTCTTGCATACAAGGAGATGGGGATGGGGAATCACAGGCAAGTGGACAGTATCTACAAATTCCTAGAAGTAGGAAGTGGTCTGGCACATTCTGAGGATGTAGGCACAGTCTGTGGCCAGAACATGACTCCCAAAGCAAGCAGGTCTAGAGAGCTGATCCTGGGGATGGGCAGGCCGAAGTTAAGAGGGCTTTGTGTTACACATAATGGACTTTGTCCTGGAAGCCAGGGCTTCTCTCGGCTGTAGTGTCAAACACATAGGTGTGTCATAGTCACTTCTGAGGTGAGGTGTCTCACATCATTTGTAACTAAAAATAGGGTTTTAAAATGTATGATATGTCACCTAAAATATAAATGACTCAACCGAGGAGTGTCCTCAGAGGTCAGATTGCTGTCAGACCTGGCCCCTGGACATGGACGTGTGCATGGTTATGATCATGGTCATAGTAAACTAGAGCTTCCAGATTACAGGCAGTTGAAAATAGAAGGGGCCCTGTTAGAAATTGTCCAGGAGAAGCTGGCTGCAGAGGACTAAGGGATCTCTGGGCCCTCAGTGAAGCCTGGAGCTGCATGGGTAGCTTTGCAAACAACGTTTCTTTTATGGGTACACTATGAAAAGTATTAAAATGGGGATTTGTTGCTTTTGTGGTACTTCTGTGGGTTGAATATTTCCTGAAGTCCTGGAAAATATCACTGAAGAGAGTACCTGGGATTATCTTGTGACTTCCTAATGCTTTCATAAAAATCGGATTTCTTCACCATTGCCAACTTTTCTGTATGTTTGTTTCTGAAAGAATGCCAGTAAAGTAAGGAAAATACTTTTTAAAAGTGTCTAAACCAGGACTGGAGAGATGGCTTAGTGGTTAAGAGGACTGACTGCTCTTGTACAGGACCCGAATTTGATTCCCAGCACCCACATGGTGGCTAACAACCATCTGTAACTCCAGTTCTAGGAGAATCTGACATCCTCTCTGACCTCTGCCAGCATTGCATGATGTTGCACTTAAACACATGCAGCCAATACAGTCATATACATAAAATAAAAAACAAAATATGCTTTTTTAAAGTGACTAAACTGAGAGAGGATTTTTGCTGTAATATCATTGTTATTCATTTGGCATTTAAAATATCTATTATTTATTTATTTAGGGTTTTGAGACAGAGTCTCACAATGTAGCTCTAGTTGGCTTAGAACTTAACCATGTAGACAAGACTGGCCTCAATCTTACAGAGATCCATCTACCTCTGCCTCCTGAGTGCTGGATTAAAGGTATGTGTCACTATGCCTGGTCCTAATTTATTTATTTTTATTGTATCTGTATGAGTGTTTCACCTGCTTATATGTAAGTATACATGTGTGTGTATTGCCCGTCGTGACTAGAAGAGGGCATTGGATCCTCTGGAAGTAGAGTTATTTCCAGTTGTTAGCCACTATGTGGGTGCTGGAAATCGAACCTGAGTCCTTTGCAAGAGCAACCAGTGCTTTTAACCACTGAGCCATCTCTCCAGACCTACATCTTTATTTATTTTTTTATTTTTTTGAGGCAGGGTCTCTCTATATAGCCCAGAGATGGCCTCAAACTTACAACCTTCTTCCTTCACCCTCCCAAATGTTGGAATTAGAGGTGTGTGCCACTATGCCTACTTCACTTAGCATTTTGACGTGCTTTGCACGGTGGCGGGGGGAGTGTTGGTAACCTTTGCTGCCCCTGATTGTCCTCCTGATGGCATTCTGTCTCATATGAGCCTCAAGACCTCAAGTGTGGCAGCGAAGGGCTGACGGCCACTGCCTATGGCATCAGGAGGAGTCAACTATTTTTAAAACAAGGGAGTGGCACAATTTAATTAGTGAAAATTACTACTGCAAGGTAATAATGGAGGGGGACAGCCCTGGGGACATGCTATAGGACTAATGCTAAAGGCCAGGTGCCACATAGTGAGAGCCTAACTTAAGGCAGAAACAAAGGAAGACTTCAGATATGAATTCTGCTATGGGTTGAATAAAATCAAGAGGATTTTACCAAGTAGATGAGGGAAGTGGGAAGTGGGGTCTGAGGATGGGCTGGGCAACATCTCAGTTTGCTGTTTAAGAACAGTAGGATGGTGATCAGGGTAGAGATCAGTCTCAGATAATATTTTAGGTATGTTATAGCTGGGTGTTTATGGGATTTCAGAATAGCAGTATCTAGGTGAGAATGGGGATTTGGAAGTCATCCATAATGAGGGATTTTGGAAGAGATTCAGGAAAAGTCTAGAATTAGGCAAGGTGGGTATGACTGCCAACATCTACTGGATTGCTGAATTCAAGGAGGTAGTAGAGATGGAGAGGGAAAGGTCTGAGGAATGGGAGAAAAGGGTTGTAAGATTTGTTGAAGGTGTGTATTTGTGTCTTGTAACAGGTCTGTCACAGCTGGGTGTTAGGCTCTGTAGACTGTAGTAATTTATCTTGGCGTTCATTGTTTCAGGTGGCAGACATTCATTGGTGGACTTCTGCTTCACGTGTCATGGAAGCTGGGTTGGGTGGAGATCAACAGCAGTTCAAGGTATAATAACCTCTTCATATTTGATTCATGATTCACATGCTGCTTGCTTTAAATATTTGACTTCTTATGATATTGCACCTGGAAGCACGGATGTGTGTTTGAGTTATTTGGACTCTTGTGTCCTTTCAACCTTGAGATTCGATTGTTTCAAAATCAGATAAATCTTGAATAGTTTTTCCTGGCTGATAGTATCAATAAATAATATTAAAATTAATAGAGACACCCAAGTCATAATACTATATTAATTTACCTTTGTTATAGATCATAGGTTCACTATGTTGGATGATTACATAAGCTTTAAATATTTTTTGAAATTATTATTATATGCTTTTTCAAATATGTCATTTATTTATTTATTTTTTTTGAATGTATATCATACAGAACATCCCAAACAGTCTTACTCATCTATATACCCACTTCCCAAATGGCACCCTCCCATAGCCTTCCCACCCCCTCACCCCCACTGGAGCCCATATACTCTGTAATCCCAGTTACTGTCCACTGTGTTGTCAGTGCCCCCAGCCATTCCCCAGTGCTTGTCCATCTGCTAAATGTAGTCTGCCTAGCTAGAGATCCTTGTTTTAGGAAGATCAGCTGTTCCTTATCTAGCAGCAATCAGTTGTCAATATTCCTTTAGATAAGATTTGGGTCTGCTGTTCATTTTCCCAGTTCTATGCTGGGTTATTATTTGGGAATCCCTTTAGCCACCCTGGCCAACAACTCAAAAGAAGGTATCGCTTGTCTGGCATTGTTGCTTGTTATGTAGTCATTAGCTATACAT